CAGCGCCAGCTACTCAGCAGGGTGGGGTGAGAGGTTCAATCCCCCAGCACCACATGCCAGCCAGCCCCGCCCCCTGGTGGGCTGAGCTGGAGACACACACACACACACACACACACGCATAAAAATAAATGTAAAAATTTTAAAAAAAATCTTAAAAAAAAAATAAAAATAAAGTACTTAACAGAGTATTTGGCATTGAATACACTGGGGACAGTGGTATGTGTCAGCGCCAGCTACTCAGCAGGGTGGGGTGAGAGGATCACTTGAGCCCACAAGTTTGACCACAGCCTGGGCAACACAGCAAAACCATATCACAAAAAAAGACAGAATAAAAGATAGGTATTGTTAGAATAACTAGTATTACAAGATACACAATTTTGTGAGTTGTTTGTTACCATGTATTTGATACAGGAACTCATTACAGACTTGTAGTGATCTTGTGTTCAGCCTCCCCAGCATTGCAATTACAGGCAAGTGGCAGGACCAGTGCCAGTGCAACATGTGGTCCTGGGGATCAAACCCCAGTTCCTGAGATTGCCTAAGCAGGTGCTGAGTCTCCTGAGCTATCTCACCAGCCCTAGATTTACAGTGTTTAATGTCTGAATTTATTGCAGATAAACATCCTGTCATACATTTAGTGCTATTAATTAGATGTTGGCTAATATATTTCATGTGTGGACACAGTAGCCTACAAAAGTATAAATCAGTCAGTAATCCAAAAGATTATTGTAATGGTTTTAAAATAAGATAGTAATTGTCATTTTTGCCTTTTTATCATTTACCAGTTTAGCCAGCCTTAAAAAAGAAGCTTTCACAAAAGGTTCTGTGGTATAACTTGTTATATTAATTCCTATACTGAAGCTTTTTTATGTCACCAGTGTTTTGTTTGGAATATACCACATAGTTGGAACATACCAAGGGCTGAATGTCAGTGTGTGTTCAGCTTCAAACCTCCAGCATTCAGAATAATTTACATTGTACCATGTGTGAGTGGTACACACCTGTAATCTACAACTCAAGAGGCTGAGGCAGAAGGCTGAGGATCACTGAGTTTGAGTCTTCTATTCTAGGCCACAGAGTGAGTTCAAGGCCAGCCTGAACTACATAGCAAGACTGTCTCAAAACAAAAACAAAAAATTTTTATTTCAATTTAACTTTGAATGTGTTTAAATACTAGTTTCAGGAACTTCTGAGGTGATTGTTATTTTGTTGAATAACTATTTCACTATTTTAAATCTCATATGCTGGCAGAGGAACTGGGAAGTGATGAAGATGATATTGATGAAGATGGGCAAGAGTATTTGGAGATTTTGGCTAAACAAGCAGGTGAAGATGGAGATGATGAAGACTGGGAAGAAGATGATGCTGAGGAAACTGCTCTGGAAGGCTATTCCACAATTATTGATGATGAAGACAACCCTGTTGATGAGTATCAGATATTTAAAGCTATATTTCAAAGTAAGTCAACAAGAAAAAAAATTAACTTGTATGCATAACAAACATATATACATGCTTGCTTCTAGAAAGACTTGTAATCCTAAAAGTACAGAGGAGTTGCCACTTAGGTTTGTTTGTTTGTTTGGTCATTGAGATAGGATCTCACTAATGCAGTTCAGGCTGACCTTGAGCTCACTTTGTAGCCCAGGCTGGTATCAAACTCAAAATGATCATCCTCCTGCCTCCCCTCCCAGAGTGCTGGGATTACAGGTATGTGCCACCATGCCCAGAACCACTTACTTTTGAACTGTACTATTTTCCTAAAATGTATAACTAAATTTGGTGTGGTAGTATTCACTGGGAAGGCTGAAGGAGGAAGATCACCATGAGTTTGAGGCTAGCCTTGGGCTAAAAGGACAAAGGGTGGTTTTGGGGCTGTGTGGCAAAAAGAATTGATTGAGGTGCTAGCTTTGTTCATGCCTTTGTATATTTCAGTTATAGGCATGCCAGTCACTGAAGGATAGTATATAATATAAGGCCTTTGTATAGTTGTAGTAAAATAAAAGTAGTTATATGACTACATGCCAAGGTTATATGCCCAAAATATATGGTACGTAAAACATGAGGGAAATTAGTTTACATTCTTGACATTGCTTTGTGGTGAAACTTGCATTACAGAGAACATTTTCTTTCTTTCTTTTTTTTTTTTTTTTTACCATTTTCCTACCTGCATACAAATGTGTGTCAAATAGAGGAATACATGTGTAGGGCTGGGGAGATGGCTCAGTAGAATAAGCACTTGCCTGACAAGTGCAAGGTCCTAAGTTCTAGCCCCAGTACCACCAAAAAAAAAAAAAAAAAACATGAGTAGACTTAGCACTATTATATATCATCTTCATGCCTAGGGAGGGTGCTTTGTTTTGTTGTTGCTTAGTGCACTAATGAGGACTAAATCCAGAGACTGCTAAGTAATTCCCAGCCCTCTTTACAGGTATAATTTTAAGCCAGTGCCTCACTAAATTGTCCAAGCTGGGCTCAAAATTGCAATCCAGTAGAATAAGCACTTGCCTGGCAGGTGCCAGGGGCCTGAGTTCAATCCCTGGTTCCACCAAAAAAAAAAAAAAATTGCAATCCATTTGCCTCACCTTCCTGAGTAGCTGGAAAGTCTGGCTGGTCTTATACTTGCCACATAGTCTATCTAGGCTGGCCTCCAACTCATAGCAGTCTTCCTGCCTTAACCTCTTGAATGCTGAGATTATATATAGGCATGTGCCTCCATGCTGCCATTTTTTATTAAATGCCATGAAACTGGCTTGTTTGATTTTTTCATTTATGTATATGGTACAGGGTCTCACTACACAACTCAAACTCATAGTAATCCTAATTTTAGCCTTCCCAGAGCTAAGATTACAGGCGTCCACCACCACGCCCACACTCCAGTCACTGGCTCAGCATGCCCCAGGGATCAAACCGTGTTTCTCATGCTTGCCAAAGCAGGCACTTAGTCTGCTGAGCTGTTTTGCCGGCCCTTTGTTTTTATTTTTTGAGACAGTGTTTCATCATACAATTCAGGCTGGTCTGGAACTCACTGTATAGTCTATGTAGAACTCCTACATCAGTTTCCTGAGTGCTGGGATTTTAGGTATGTACCACCATGCCCAGAAAACATTGTGAGCTTTTAACACGTTTTGGGGTTGGAAGCATATAAAATGGATCCAAATGTCAGTGGCAGGTAGGTGCAAAGAAAGAACAAGGGGACAGGCCAAATAGCTCAGGGGATTAAGGTGCCTGCAAGAAGGCCCAGGGGCCTGGGGTTTGATGGCCATTGAGACTGGGCACGGTCACCTGTAATCCTAGCTCTTGGGAAGCTGTAAACAGGCAGATCCCTGGAGTCCTATCTACTAGTGAGACCCTGAACACCCTGTAGACCCTTCCCTAAAATAAAAAACAAAAAAAGGAACAAAATAGAAAGTAGCTGCAAATCTTTTTTATTAAAAATCTTTTCCCTTTGTTTTTCTTTTGATAGCTATTCAAAATCGTAACCCTGTATGGTATCAGGCTCTGACTCATGGTCTTAATGAAGAACAAAGAAAACAGTTACAGGACATAGCAACTCTGGCTGATCAAAGAAGAGCAGCTCATGGTATGTTCCTCAACCACAACCTCTCTTTGATGTAACTAATGGTTTTATATGGCTGTAGAGTCTTATGGAGGAATTAAGGTTATAAGGGTCTATAGAAGGGCTGGCGGTATAGCTCAGCAGACTAAGCGCTTGCTTAGATAAGCGCAGGAGCCAGAGTTCAATACTTGGCTCCGCCTGCCGCGCCGGCCCCACCTTCAGGTGCGCTGAGCTGGCAATGGAGTCCGGGCACGGTGGCGC